GTTATCCCAATTTGCCTTCAAACGTGGAAACACACTTTAAACTGACCAACTGCATTTGTTAGATGTTGTGAGTGTGCATAGGGTTAATTGCGCATTAGATGTTTCTGGATAAATGAGCCACCTCTGATATACTCAGCCCAGAGAGCTCAGCAGTTTACTGCCTTTGGAATACATCTTAAATCGTTACTGCAAACATAAATTAACTTCTCATAAGACCAGCGTATGTTTCGATTGTAGTGGCTGTAGAGAAGAATAAATAAAAGCTTAAAGCCTTTCAGCATATAAGCCAAACAAATATCCTATTCTGTAGGGTAAAGGACGGGGAGGGGAGCTGTGTGATGGGAGGTGGCAGTTTATGTGTTGATGAGATTGGTTGTGTCATCCACCACGACCAATCAAATTCCAGGGCATTTTCTTTTCTTTTTACCTTTGCAATATTGACAGAGGTTTTGCATCTGGCCTAAGTAATAAAAAAAAAATACATAATTTGGAATGCTAATTTCGTCCACAAAATATAGGATACAAATGTTTTTTTTTTTTAATGCAGAGTAAACCTTTCCCTGCTATCTTTTTTTTTTTTAATATCGGGGGCCGCCGTCCGCCGTCAGTTTGCACGCGCTCACTGCTGCTGTCAATCAGCAGAGGTGGACCTGAAGTTCTCCATCAGGTCCTCCTCTGCTGATTGACAGCAGCAGAGGGCGGTGTAATAGCCAGCTCGCTATTGCAAATTGAAAAGCAAAGAAGCTATTGTTTCCTGTGCTATCTGCCATCATTTCAGGGGGGTGCTCTCACCCCCCCCCCCTGAAATGAGAAGGGCACCTCCCTGAAATTACTTATTTCAAGGAATTGCTTTAAAAGGAAAGGCAGTGTGTGTGTGTGGGGGGGATGACACAGAGGGCACTTCCCTCGAATGAGGATGGCACCTCCCTTTCGGGTTCGGATGCCTATGACTGTCAGTCTTGCAATGCCTCATGGGACTTGTAGCTCCACAACAGCTGGAGGACCAATCTATGTTCTATAGGTTCTCTGTGGCTCAGAGAAGTGTTTGTGAACCGTGTTGTGTGGTTGTCAGTGCTGCCATTCCGCTTTGCTTTCAGTTCCTGCAGTGCTGACAGTGCATTGTAAGCAGAAATCACTGAACCTTCTGGGGATTGATTCGATATCTACACCACTTGCAACATCCAGGGCAACTCGGCAACAGAAGTGATATAGACCTGTATGCATATAAACCCATATGGGTCTATTTATAAAAAATTCACACAGCTTATTTGTCCTGCGAAACTGAAGGTGCATTTGTTCTGTGCCAGTTAACCAGCTGTTGAGAGAATGCGTGGCTGCAGTGCGTTATATATTAAGCGTGGCTTAAAGGGGCATGCCCCAACATCACTGGGAGGGATAAAACACAGGTTTGCTTTAAGGAGCCCATAGCTTACAGCGAGCCAATTAGATACGGATACACGTTTCTACCACCATGAGGTACAGATCTTGCCTACTAGGTGCCCAGACATGATATTTCAGCTTAGCATTGCTTCCTGTATGGAGTTTATCACAGACCTGTGTATCATTCTTAGTCACAAAATCGTTTTATCTTTTCTGTTAAGATGTTGTGAACATCGGTCACAATTACTGCATATGGAATTGCAGTTTCTCTTATGTTGTACTCCAATACACAAGTGCTTGGGAAGGGGGTTACGGGGGACGGTGCTCTCGCTAGGGAAGAAAAGTAGCAATCAGATCCTCACAGACTCACATCCCAAGTTCCGAATGATTTGGTCACCTTGGATCTCTTTGACCTCCCTGGGTTACGCTACTGATACCTTTTTTTACTAGGATGGCTTGGCTGTCCTTTCAACATCTGCAGGACTGCTGCCTCACTCTACTCTACTCTGGTCTTCTCCTCCCCTTCATAGTCTTTACCTTTCTCCCTTTATTTACCTTTGACTCCCACGTTTCTCTCTCCATGTCATTCTACGAGCCCTGTATTTCTATTGTCTCGGCTTGGTTTGTACTTTTATCTTACTTACCTCTTTTCACCTTTTGGAGGTCCCTCTTAAGGTGGCCATACACTTTACAACCATTTTCTTGTGATGGTTATAAAGTAATAAAAAAAACGTACGATCTGCCCATCTTGGACAGGCAGATCGTACTTGCGATCATCGCAAGCCCGCCCCCCTGAGGGGCGGGCTTCCGATGACTGTAATGAGGGGCGGGCTTACGATGACTGCAAACGGGCAGTGTGCGTGTGCGCGTGTGCGCACACCGGCCCGTACGGCAGTTGTCGAACCAGCAGGCCACTAACTCGCCGAGAAACGTACGATTCCCGGCGTGTTTTCTAGCATGCTGGTTCGACGGAAGACGTGCGACCGTACAGTAGAAACGGTCGCACGCCCTTCCATACACTGCACGATTCTCGTATGATCGGTGCACATGGAAGGGCTTTATACAGTACAACAGCAAAATGTTTCCCAGTCACCAGCCAGCATGCAAAAAAAAAAGTACACCATCTAACTACTAAGGTTAAAAACAGAGGTTTTTGTTGCACAACTTTTGCAAAACAAGTGGAAGCCGAGCTCCCCCCTCTATATAGTGAGGTCCTAACTCTAATCTAGGAGAGTCTCCGTCTTGGAGCATATTTGTAGCAAAGGATGAATTGGGTGCATGTTCGCCAGGAGGTAGCCCAACCTCCTTAAATGCATTTGCCGTTTGTTTCACTTGTTGGATTTGGTGTGGGGACACACGGGGGCTTCAGCTGCCATTGTGATGTGCGGGACTCCTTGTGTGTCCCTATGCCTTTTAAGGAGGTTGGGCTACCTCCTGTCGAACTTGCACTCAATTCATCCTTTGCTGTATAGGCTCCAAGATGGAGGCTCTCATAGATTAGAGTTAGGACCGCACTATGCACAGGGGCCTTGACGAGGTGGTGTGGCTTCCACATGTTTTGCAGAAGTTATGCAAAAAAAAACCTCTGTAACTCTTTAACTTTAGTAGTGAAACTGTACTTTTTTTTTTTTTTTATAGGCTGGCTGTGTGTGCTGGGGAGTGTGCTGGGAATGTTTGTTTTTATTTATTCATTACTTATTATTGTGAATCTTGTTTTACTTAAAAATTAAAATAAACATACTGAAATGGAAAGGTATCAACCAGGACACATGGACGCAGGATTCTTCTATAGAATAATTATTGTATAAACATACACAATCATTCAGGTCAAGTGAGTCTGTTTTATGAAGATATCCCTGGCATGGTCTTTACGGAATACCTCCAAACCTTAGCAAGTGGGATTCTTAAAGTACTCCTCTGGCCAGACTATACACTATTGCATATTCCTAACAAGCTGTGAAAAAGGTTTAAAACAGGCTCTCATTTACCTCTCTAGCTGATTGTACCATGAACTAATTAATTCTTAAGGTGCCCATACACCTGACGATTATCCTACGATAATCGCGGGGGATCGTACTATAATCGGCAGGTGTATGGGCAGCGTGCGACCGCATTTACTGTACGGTCGCACGACTTTCCTCTTACGAGCACGCTAGAAAATCCGCCGAAAATCGTACGATTTTCAGCGGGTTGGTAGTGCGATCACAAGACGAAAGCTGCACAGGACGGTGTGCGCAAGCGCACACTGCCTGCTCAGCATTGCAATCATCGGTAAGCTCTCCCCTCAGCGGGGAGGGCTTGCGATGATCGCAAGTACGATCTGCCTGTCCAAGATGAGCAGGTCGTACGAAATTTTAATGACCTTACAACCATCGCACAACGAAAGTCGTGCGATGGTTGTAAGGTGTATGGGCAGCTTTAAAGATCACAATAGAGACTTTTAAGTCAGGTTTCAGTCGGTTAATGGCAGCTAACAGCACCCGCTTTGTATTTACATTATAAATCTGGCAGACTGTCAAGATTCTTCTTCCATAGAGAGGAAGGAATAAAAAAAATTTGATTTTCTTGCCTCAATTGTGAGCTTTGAAGGTTAACTTTTCCACAATGCCTATAGCTACAGAGGACACAGGTTCATTTTAAACACAGAGAAGATCTGTGGTACAAACGGCGGCAAAAAGTGGGTGCAGGTGTATTAAAGCTTAACTCCCAGGATGAGCAAATAGGGCAGCCTAAAGGCAACATGCACTGGGAAGATTACATTGTATGTTTATTGCACTTTTTTTCAGTTTGTCCCTCTAATTGCACTGTGAAATTGATCGCAATCTCAAATTTGACTGCAAAAGTGGAAATGCACTCATATGCCAGTCTTTTTACACACAAAATACTCTTTAATTACTGTGCCACAAGCGACAGTCTCAAAGAAATAAAAAACATTAACTCATCCATTAAATGTGATTTTCTGCACACAATATAAACATTGACTCTGCGCTTTGTCTGAGCCTACTTCACTAAAAACTAAACATCATTAAAACAGTTGAAGGCTATTTAGCAACTATCAATGGTTAAGACAATAAACTCTTTGGTCAGTAGTATGTAATGTACATGACAGCTTACAAAGTAGTGCGGCCTGGACTATGTACCCTACAACATGGCATATACGGTGCAGGATTTTGGACTGTGTAATGTACAGCAAAATGTATAGAGTGCAGGGGTCAGGAATATGTATCATATTCCTTACGTTTTAGTTAGACCAAGCCTCCTTGGTCAGCAGAAGGAAGAATTCCCCAGTGTGGATGGTACATGAGAGGAACATTTGCACAGGTGTTGGTGGTAAATAGGAGGAGGAAATGTCTCATCATTAGTGCTCAGTGGTACTTCTAGTGTGGAAACTGCCAGACAGCATTGTACTTTCTATTGAATAAGCCTGTTGGTGTCATTCCCCAAATTGTTGGGTATCTGAGCTGTCTCAGAGAAAACAGGACTTACATCTGAACTGGAAAATGGCAGTTAGAGAATGAAAGTTAAAATCTGGTTGTTAAAAAAGAAAGACACATACGCCCTTTGTTTGAAATAGGCCCAAAATACAGTAGAACTAACACATTTTTATGTTCCTTTAATAGAAATGGAAGTTGGGATCCAGCAAGAAGAAGAAAGGGATGAAGCCGTTGTGGAAATGGGCCAAAGAGCTAACACTCCAAGTACAGATCTCGTCCAACTACCAGAGCAGCCCAAACCTACCTCAGAGGAGCCTAAAGGCATAGAGAACACTGCATTCGTTGGGGACCCCCCACCGTATTCTCCCCCGGACCCTAAGATCGCACATCTGCTGTACCCCAATTATCAAACTAACTTCTCCCACTCGATGGCTGTCATGTACCAGTCTGGCCCAACATTGCAGAGCGTCTACACACATCAGAACCTGCCGCCAGGATCGTACCCCTATATCATAGTAAGGAAACCTCTCTAGATGCCTTGTATAAAGTGGACCTGTTAGTTACACACAGCATCACATTAACACTATTTATGAACACACATCACAGACATTATATGGAAACTTTATAGTTCCTTCCATATCCATGTGCACATGTCCATATGGAATTGCCATAATCTATGCAGATAACATTATTCAGAACAGTAGAAACAGTCCTACGAGTGGCACAAAATATGCCCATGCTGCTTCTAAGAACCTGCAGAATAATGTGACTGGTCACATGGTGTTTAGTGTAATAACTCTTTCCACAACCTTTATCTCATAGGAGAATACCACAGCTTACAATTTGATTAAGGAAAAAAAGCGTGGCAGTAATTCTACACTCACAATTTGGTGTTTATTCTGCCTGTAGTATAACTAAGACAGCATTCCAATGTTTTTGTAAAGTCTGTTTTTTTCCCCGTTTTGGATAGAATGGAGAATTGTGTCAAGACTCCTGTTTTTTTTGCTGTCACCTTCCTCGGGGAGATTACCCTTTACTTCCTGGCTCAAGACAAAACAGGAAGTAAGAAGAAATCTGTCCAAAGTGAGGGGAAATCCCCTCTTAGATAGTTGTCACTGGAACAGGTGTCCCCATCGGATGATTATCTCTCACCTCCTGTTCCTGTGGCAGCTCTAAAATGTTGGATTTCACCCCTCAGACAGGGGTTTTGGCTCTACATACACGTGAGGCCCATTGCAGCTTTCAGTGAACCATTGTCACAAATCCCAAACCTGGTGTTTCAGCAGAATGCTGTTTAGCATTTACTCATTAAATGACTTAACAAAGTGTACACAATAATACAGGCTAAACACTTACCTGTATGACATCACCTTAGTGACAGATGTAGTAGTCACAAAGTCTCAATCAATACTTGTAGGTGATATAAATATATTTCAATAGTTTTGAGGTTTTGCTGTTTAAAGATTCTATAGTTAATTCTGTAATATGTAGTCATGTACCTCCTGTAATTAAAGGGGAACCCCAGGAAGCCTAAGATGGTTTTCAGATATTTGTGTACCAGTAAATTGTACTAACCAGTTTTGTGTCCTATCCGTGGAACATTGCGGTAAAAATCTCCTACGGTATTTCTCCACTGTTCTCCTGCTGCCCACGGGCTTCCTGTCCCACCAATCTGCATTGTTGGAATGGGTAAAGTTGACCCACTGCACTTCTACTACTTTGATTAAAACTGTAAAAATAACTGCTAGAATGTGTTATTGGAGGCAGCATGCTGTCTGATGTAAATGTGGGGATACTTTCTCCGCTTTACAGACCACCAAACAAGAGAAAGGTGAGATGGTTTCATGTTTCCTGAACTGTAGTAAGTCTTTTAACTCCTCAATATCCTCTGCATTGCCCTTCCATCACAGTTCTCTTGGTTGATTCAGTCACAGGTGACCAGAAGTGGGAACAACAGTAAGGAAAAGTTTCATTATTTGTAAATTCTGAGCTTATTCCTGAACCTCTCATACCCTGCTGTCCTAGGCATTGTCCTGCAAGTACCAGCATGGTAAATAGGTGTTAAAAGAGGACTATGGCCCAACCTTCTTTTTTTGCCATAGTTCTACAGGAGGACATGTACTAAAGTCCTCCTGTGACCCAAAACTCAGCATTAAGTGGGCTATTGCCTGCTATATGCTGACAGTGCAGAGCTGCATTGCAGCCAGGATGGATCCTGACAATATTGTTGGGATCCACCCGCTGCCTGATTGACAGCTGGAGTCTCTGGAATTGCCTGATTGACTTTCTAGAGTCAGAGCCAGCTATGCCTGCCCCCTCCCCTGTCTGTTCCTCCAGTCAGTGCTGGAGGAACAGAGACGGGAGGGGGGAATCCCTGCAGGGAGCCGTGACTGACAGTCTCTGCAGGGAAAAGATCGGGAACGCAGTGATCATCGGTATGTGATCACTCAGTTCTCGATCTATAGAGCCGACATGTGACAGCTTCAGTGTCACACATCAGCTGCAATTATGGGGATGAGTGTATTTCACTCTCCCCATAATTCTCTTTTAAGTATAATTCACACCTACATCACTAAACATTGCTGTTTTCAGCTTTCTAGAGTTTCCTAGAGGTCACCATTAACAGCAGGTACCCAGAAGCTGCTGCAAATAATTTAATATTTGTATGTGGGTGCCCCAGAAGCTTCAATTTGTGTAACTGTACAAATATACAAATACTGACTGGTGCAGGAAAGCTAGACACCCTCTGAACCCAACGTTTGGCTGCTAAACGTAATGGGGGTTATCACTAATCAATAAAATGATGTGGGAGAGGACAGAGCTTGGCCATCTATGCTTTAGTCAGTCATTTTTTCTTGGCTTCCAGCATGTTCAGGAGGAAACTTAAAGGAGAACTATGGGGTTAGGGCTTTTCCCAATAGTTCTCATAAGGGTAACGGGAGGACACAAACTAGCGTCCTCCCGTCACCCACAGCTCAGTATACCGCGAGCTACAGCTCGCGATATACTGAGACGCCGCAGCCGGAACGGATCCCGACAATTATGTCTGGATCCGCCCAGAGTGACAGCTGGCTCTGCCTATCTAGAGGCAGAGCCAGCTGTACACGCCCCCTCCCCCATCCGTTCCACCACTCAGTGCTGGAGGATCGGACGGGGGAGGGGGGAAATTAGAATTTTTCCATGTTCGAAAGTTCGAGTTAGAACCGAACACGGGGGTGTTTGGCTCATCCCTAATTGTCACAAGTCGGCTAGAACTATGAGGCTGAGTGAAAATCACTCACCTCATAGTTCTCCTATGTGCAGGACGCCACCAGGAACCTGATATTAAGACAACACAAAGGTTTGTTTTAAAGGAACAAACAAACTTTAAAGACAACACATTTATTTGTGAAAGAGACAAAAAATAACTGTGGAAATTGACAGGTGCATTTGACCTGCAGTTTATCTCATTCTGACCTGCAGTAGACCTCCATTAAGCTGTTTTTGCATTTTACCATTGACTTTTATGGGAAATGAAGCAGTTCTGTCAGGAACAGGCCATGAAGCTGTCCATGGACTTGAGATATCAGCCTTTCTGGGCATGCATAATCCAACAGCCCTCAAAGCAGCAATCTTCATACAGATGACTGCAGTGCACTTAATTTGCATTGACTTGATATAGCAGTCTTTTGGGGCAGGCATAATCCAACAGCCCTCAAAGCAATCTCCACACAGATTACTGCAGTGCACTGTGTAAACTTGGAAGGTTGGCATATTCCCGTAAAAGGAGAGTGGGGGGACAGATAGAAGACAGAAGGGCTGCTTATCAAGAATAAAAAAATAGCGATTAGGAAGGTCTGGCTGTACTTCCTGACATCAGGGCAACAGCTTCATGGCTCACATTGGCCCAAAAAATCAGCATATATAATAATGTCTACAGATACTTTTTTTCTGCTGAGCGCTCTCTTGCTATGTGTGCTATCTTATGTAGCTGAGGGCTCATACAGGTGAGTGCTAGCGTACAATGAACACTGCGATTGTTTTTTCAAAATTTCCATTGCAGATTCCCATTTTGTACTTTCTCAAGAGGGGGAACTGGTGCTCCTGAATGCTTGAATCTATTAAACCAATTAATTTGGCAGTGTGCCAGACAGCCTCATTTGAGGGTAAATAATGGGTCAACTTATCCATATTTTTTTATGGGATTTTGGGGCAGGAAGTCAGTGTGTGCTGGAAGATATTGATCCTTATTATGCCAGCTTTACATGAAACATCTTCACATCTAATAATCCTGAATGGCCTTGGCTGGCTGCATAGTCTTCAGTATTTTTATTAGATCAGTTTGGAAGAATGATTTAATCTTTGGGATTTCGTAAATGTGTTTTGATACAACACCAATGTCACATTGCATCGATTCAATAACATCTGACAACAGAATATATCCAAATCAGTAAAGAAGGACTTTCTAGGCATCCAATCACAACATCTTGTAAGTATTCAGATACAAAAATATATTAACAATGTTTTTAAAAACAGATATAACATCAGTGTAAACACAATACATTACTTAATTTCCATATTATTATTTTATTAGTATACAGGATTTATATAGCGCCAACACTTTGCGCAGAGCTTTACAAAATGGAGGGAGACAATACAGTTACAATACAATTTTAATACAGGAGGGTTCAGACTGTTAGATAGTTATCCCCCTCGAACACCTATTACAGTTTTTTCTATGAAAATAGATCCAAAATGTCTCTGCATCTTGAAGATACATAGAAGATGTCGTGATTGTGTACCTAGAAAGTCTGTCTTTACTGTATTGTATGTAATTTGATTCAAAGGGGTTTGGTACCCCTTATGCCAACAAATTTCTTTAATAATTTAACAACAGTGAAAAAGAAGGTTTTGTGTTCCAATTGATTGGTTTGTTTGATGGTTGGGCAATCTCTTGAGCAATTGTTCCCAACCCAAACAGTTATTTTCATCTTTAACTGGAGGTGTGATATCATTTTAAAGGAATGGAAAAGATGCTGAAAGATAATAATTGCTAGACTGGAATCAATACATGTATGGCCAATACATGTTTGTATTTCCGGTTGCTAGACTGGAATCAATATATGTATGTTACACTAAGTACACCCTGATGGTTTATTAAAACCCTTACTAGATGCCTATAGCATTTTCCTGGTGTTTGGTAAGAGGTTAGTAAGAATCCTTGTTGCTGGCAAAAAGCACAAAAAAACAAAGCGATAGGAATGAACCACTTTCTAAAACGGCATGCTAGCTGCTCTTATTGTTTTGAATGGGGGCTGCTGGAATAAGAACGGCTGACAGCAATGGCGCGCTGCAGAACACACATCCATGTGACCACCACTTGCTAACAACATGCATATGTACCATCCAAACCGTTGCAATATAAACTTGTGCAGCTGACTGACTGTTGTGCCACCTGTTCACCACCTACCAACACTGTCTATGAGTTCTCCCAAGTCATCCTAAGCCTAATGCATAGGCTACTTCCTTTTCTGTGTGACTTGGCTCATTTATCTTTTTTTTTTATTTTTATTAACTCATTAAAGCTTTATTGGCCGGATCTGCTGAATTTACCATATGTGTGTTTTTATCATGGACTTTGGCAACGTTTTGTATGTAAGAGCCAATTCACAAAGATTATCACATGGGTTTTTTTCCCCATTAAAATATTACTGCCTTCTGCCTAAAGAGGTTCTACAAGGTTTCTGTTACAGGGAGCAGAAAAGGGGCCATGATCAAATAACTCATGAGATGAAATACATCATTTATGTGTATGCCAAGTGGACTCCAGGCAAACAAATGCATACACAGGTAAACTATGGCACATGTTGTATATAGGATCTGTTTTATCTGCCAAAGGATTTGCATTTCTGTCCAGCCATTCCTGAGATTTACATAGCTCTGGGGATGACCCCACTTACCGTTATGGAATACTTTCTTCACCTCCAACACGTTAGTAAGCTCCTTCTCTTTCACCTTGGGCTGGCTGCATGTGGCTTCTCATCACACAGACATTACATTGTGTTTTATTATAATTAGTTTTCAGAGTTCCTCTATATATA